TACACAGAATTATGTATCTTGGTGTAGTCTACTTGTGTGCCAAATTATATTGAAATCAGACCAAATCTGTGGGAGGAGTGGCATTTTGAAAGAATTTCACAAAAAATTTCTATTTTTAGTAACCACGGCAACACCCGAAATCAAAAACCGATACACTTAGTGTAGTGTACTTGTGTGCCAAGTTATATTGAAAACAGACCAAATTGTTTACAGACAGACAGAACGGACGCCGGACATGTACAAGTTTGGCTTTCCAGAAAGCCTGAAATGTCATCTCTTTGGCTTCATTAATGTCACAGAATAAACAGTAAAGTGTAATATTTTCTCAACTATTACAGATTTTTCTATTCTTCTGGGGAAGGGGAGTGGCAGCTTACCTGAACAATTTTAGATTAGGACAAAGGACAGTGATCAAAATCTTATGCTGTGGATGAGAAGGGAATATTTTGATTTTTTTTTTTCGAAAAACAAATTCATTTTGTTTAGTACATGACTATTATGACGTCATAATAGATCTAGCACCAAAAAATCAGTCTAAAGTTATTTACTAGATCTTGACCCTAAGTTGATCGTAACTCGTAAATTGACTTGCGAGCACGTAAACACCCAAATATAGCGTCTTTTCTTCGGAACAACTTTACTTTACAGGCCCCAAGAAAAAAAGCACAAAAGTGTATTGTCGAATTCAGTAAATATAAGATCGCATGAGGTTTTTAGCTCTACTGGTCAGAGACGAGAAAAAGCTTATGCTATATAGTAATGTGTCCGTCTGTCTGTCTGAAAACAATTTTTTCAAAATGCTACTCCTCGTACAGTTTTGGTCTGATTTCAAGTTGCCGTGGTTACTAAAAATAGAAAATTTTGTGAAATATTTTCATAATGCTACTCCTCCTACAGTTTTGGTCTGATTTCAATATAACGTGACACACAAGTACACTACACTAAGATACATAATTCTGCTATTTCGATGAATGAGGAGGAGTAGCATTTTGAAACAATTTCACAGAATTTTTCATTTTTAGTTAGCACGGCAACACCCTTTTTACAAAATCAATAAACAGAATTATGTATCTAAGTGAAGTCTACTTGTGTGCCAACTTATATTGAAATCAGACCAAAACTGTAGGAGCAGTAGCATTTTGAAAGTTTCACAGAAATTTCTATTTTTAGTAAGAACAAAAACGCCGTTCTTCAAAATCAAAAACCGATACAGAGAAATATGTACCTTAGTGTCAGTATACTTGTGTGCCAAGTTATATTGAAATCAGACCGAAACTGTAGGAGGAGTAGCATTTTGAAACAATTTAATAGAAATTTTTATTTTTAGTAACAAAGGCAACACCGTTTATCAAAATCAAAAACCGATATACAAAATTATGTATCTTAGTGTAATCTATTTGTGTGCCAACTTATATTGAAATCAGATTAAGAATGTCATAGAAATTTCTATTTTTAGTAACAACAGCAACACCGTTCATCAAAATCAAAAACCGTTAAATAGAATTATGTACCTTTGTGTAGCCTACTTGTGTGCCAAGTTATATTGAAATCAGTCTAAAACTGTAAGAGACGTAGCATTTTGAAAGAATGTCAAGGTAATTTCTATTTTTAGTAACAACGGCAACACCGATCAACGAAATCAATAACCGATACACAGAATTATGTATCTTGGTGTAGTCTACTTGTGTGCCAAATTATATTGAAATCAGACCAAATCTGTGGGAGGAGTGGCATTTTGAAAGAATTTCACAAAAAATTTCTATTTTTAGTAACCACGGCAACACCCGAAATCAAAAACCGATACACTTAGTGTAGTGTACTTGTGTGCCAAGTTATATTGAAAACAGACCAAATTGTTTACAGACAGACAGAACGGACGCCGGACATGTACAAGTTTGGCTTTCCAGAAAGCCTGAAATGTCATCTCTTTGGCTTCATTAATGTCACAGAATAAACAGTAAAGTGTAATATTTTCTCAACTATTACAGATTTTTCTATTCTTCTGGGGAAGGGGAGTGGCAGCTTACCTGAACAATTTTAGATTAGGACAAAGGACAGTGATCAAAATCTTATGCTGTGGATGAGAAGGGAATATTTTGATTTTTTTTTTCGAAAAACAAATTCATTTTGTTTAGTACATGACTATACTCGAACAAAAAGTGTGGATAAGGGAGGGGCTGGCATTGAACAATTACAGCAATAAAAAGTTAAAAGAGCTGGTACACAGATTTGTAGATCTGATTTTCTAAAATTGTTTAAATAATATCACAATTTATATGTTGCTATATCATTTTACACTGCATGAAATATACTAAAATAATGTTTCAAAGTCTCTTTTATCTGTAAATTATCAAAACTACAAACTTTCAGACAAGTTTCATTGACATATATCCTAGCACTTTCACAAAGTAAGCTAAATCCATGATAGAGATAACTCTTTATGACAAAAGTGCCCATTATCCCTTTATAAATTTGTCAAATGGAAGATTTTTTGTGCAATTTTGCCCAGTAACGCAGTATTTGTAAAATCTGTATAAAAAAAATCACAAGAATTACTCGGGTAAAATCTTAGCCTTCCTTTTGACGTTACATATTGCATGTATTTCGCAGCTCCTTACTCTATGTACTCTGACAGTGGACAGAAGCGCTAACTTAATCAACTCCAAACCTTCCCAAAGATTTCATGTTAACTAAATTCCCATTCCTTAAAGTGATATGGTCGTCAAACCCCTTTGGTTTTAAAGGGGGAGATGAACTAAACTTACATCAAAAAGTTAACTATTCAAAATCGACTTTTAACAGCACTGGTGGATTTAGAGGGTGCCCAGACTCACAGTTTTTTTGTCCAAAATATACATAATATTTAATTAAATCATTTTTTGTGTGGCTTTGGGCCCCTACCCAACGTTCACATGCTTTTAAGCATAAGTAAGTAATAACATTTAAATGCTATCAGCTAAAATCAAGCATTTACAAATTATCAGAGAAAAGTTCTCATTTGCCAACCCTGAACTTACGGCTGTCTTCGGAATATATAGTATTGTGCCATTAGTGGCCGTGCAGTGCGTATATTTTTTTGTGTTTTAGTAAACTTTATCTGCATACTAAACATATAACCTATTGTGTATTATAATTTGGTCTTCATTTCAATAATATTGGAGGAGTGAATTAAAGATGTTTTTGACATTTATGCAATTAAAACTGCATAAAGAAAATGATTGCAAGTTCTTTAATCATGATAAATCGATCCTTAAAAAGAATAGATAATACATGCAAGAAAATACTCATAATAATTAATAATTTGTGATCTTTCATTCAATGTCTGTAGTTTTTTTTATAGACATTAATGTATCCGCTTATAACATGTATAAGTTGTGCTTTTAATTTCTCAATGCATTTGATTCTATAATCAGACTTGTATTACCTTTTTTTAAAAAAATGACGGTGCCGCGTTATATAATGACTAATGTACCAAAATAGTGAAGTTTTCACCATCAATTCCTATTAGTCAGTAATGCGATTACTTATGTGAATGTTTTTATTTGATGTTGTTTTTCTGTGAATTCTTGGATCCACGCCTCGGCTGCAGAGGATCTTTACACACGCGCTGACCTAGTTAGAAGATTCTATCGAGTTCTGGTCATCATTTAGGTAATAGCCAAGAAGACTTTACATATAAGAACATACAGTGTATATTTTGAAAAACCCCATTATTCAGGCGATTGTGTGTGTTGGTCTCTGTATGATTTCTTTGCAGCTTGTTTTCTTTATCAATAATAAGGCAGATAGCTCGTTGTTTACATCTCTATATTTAGAAAATCGCATTATCGCGTCAAACTGAGCAGTCGGTGATTTTCGGGTGGCCTCGAACTTTTGGAATGTAGCGTAGTGGAGTCAGCCGAGGATTGCAGACTGAAAAATAGCTGCTTACACTGGGACTTCACATCAGGAAATCAAACTTAATGTGTCATCATCTCGTGAGAGATGACTATAAGCATCGTACTGCTTTTCTGAATTTTCCTTGGCTTTCAAATAGGCCTAAACCGAAAGTAGATATCACACTTCTAAGCTAGTTCTTCTAAAAGAAAACCAGTTTACAGGCTACTTGGAACTCCTTGTGTAGATTCTCACTTGAGATATTGTAAAACATCGAGGATTCCCGAAGAATTAATGGAGGCTTACACTAGGACTTCACTTCCGGCATACAATCTTAATGTGTCATCTCCCGAGGGAGATGACAATAATGTGGAATGCAAGTAGTGTACACTGAGATACATGATCATTATTCTGTTAATTGCTGCTGTGAAGTTTCAAGTCCCAACTGCCACTTTTCTTTTCTTAACCAGTAGGGTAAAAACCGGTATTTTCGGACGGCCGGTAATTCCGGACAGGGCTCGTAAAAGCAGTCCTTACCTTCAACAAATTATACACACTTACTTTCTCTTTCTTACTTTCAATTAATTCGAAATAAAGATGTACGACTTAATAAATTTTATCCGGATGTGTTGTTATTATATAAAACCTGCAAGAAACAAAACTTGTTTTCCCGGATTGTCACAAGAGTTGTCGACCGCGAAATTTTCAAGGACTTCATTCCAAAGTTTTGATTTAGGTAAGTTATAATTTTTTTTTGAATTGATACACGGATTTTTAAATGTTTTAATTATCAAATGTGATTTTAACGCTAATAAATACACCTTTAAGTGTAAAATCATGCCGATTTTTAAACAATATCGAAATTAACGGACCAATTTTTTTTTCAAAGTCATTTAATTTCGGACAGTTTGAAGAAATGTAAAAAAAAAAAAAAAGAAAAATGAACTTTATATACCCATATTCTGAAAAATAAGTTGATAAAAAGTTTTTAAAAAAATATTATCGATTTGCAATCATCTTTTACGATATAAAATTATTATGTTACATGTATATGCATACTATTTTCAACACATTGCCGGTCAATATTTATTTCAAATACCAATAAGGTTATTAATTATTTTAATTCTATAAAAAAGTTTTTCTTTCAGCATGGCCAGAAAAAAGGCGAAAGCAAGGGGGCCTTACCAAAAAAATGATCCATCAATCATGGAACAGGCTGTAAATGCTGTTCAGTCTGGGACTCTGTCTCTCAGGAAAGCAGCAGAGAAGTTTCAAGTTCAAAAATCAACATTGTATGATAGAGTTACAAAACGAGTGTCCATTGACGCGAAGCCTGGGAGAAAGCCGGTGCTTTCAAATGAAATCGAGAAAAGAATTATCAAAAATGTTACTGAAAGTGCCGAAAAGGGCTTTGGTATTTCAAGGAAGCAACTTCTCCATAGAGCGGGAGTTTTGTGTAAAAGAAATAAAATAACTGGGTTCAAAAATTTCACCCCTACAAAACACTGGTGGGAAGGGCTAAAAAAGCGACACCCCGAAGTTGCATTAAGAAAGCCAGAAAAGCTTGGCACAGTGCGGGCAAGGATGTTAAACAGTTGTGTCGTCGAGAAGTATTTTGCAGACCTGTCTAAAATTGTGCAAAATCTAAATTTGCAAGGTTCACCAGAAAAAATCTGGAACTGTGACGAAACAGGAAAACAACTGGAACATACCCCTGTTAATGTCATTGCCAAACGCGGCAGCAAATCTGTTGTTGGCCGCACTGGCAATGACCGATCAAACATCACCATTATGGCATGCGTAAATGCCCGGGGGGATTCAATGCCTCCTATGTTGATCGTTAAAGGAAAGACTAGAAAATCATTATTTGGCTTTAACACTGCTGAGTCTCCAAAAGATTCAATTTGGACATACAACGAAAAAGCCTGGATGAATGAGGAGTTGGGGGAACAGTGGTTTCGGGATGTTTTTTTGCCTCACTGTGGCCCCGAAAGACCCCAACTTCTTATTCTGGATGGCCACGGGTCATATGAAACGCTAGGTTTGCTAGAACTAGCAGCGGAGGAAAATATCCACATTTTGGCCCTACTTCCACATACCACTCATTTTTGCAGCCCCTTGACAGAACTGTATTTGGGCCATATAATAAAGCCTTCAATAGGGTTTGCTCCGAGTTCTTGTCTGAAAATCCATACAATTTGATTAATAAATGGACTTTTCCAAAGATGTTTTGCCAAGCATGGGAAATGGCATTGACAAAGGAAAATATCCAGAGTGGTTTTAGGGCCTGTGGGATTTACCCACTTAATCCCCAGGCAGTCCCTAATTCAGCCTACTTACCTAGCTCAGCGTATGAAACAAGCTTGCATATTGAGGAAACACCAGCAGCTCTAGGTAGACCACCGTCTCCAAATATCGAAACTGAAAATGTTCCAACTCCCCCTATGCCTATACCACCACAAACAGAGTCAACACCCCCTCATGATGCAACATCGACTCCCCCTCATATTGATCAATTAGCTCTAGATCTGCCCGCAACAAACATCATTTCGCTTGAACAGCTTCCGTTTCAAACTACGCCCCAGCCAACAAATGTGCCTTCACAGAGTTACGAATTGGACGACCCAAGTCATTTATTACAACTCATCAACAGCGGAGAAATACAGGTGGTTGCCACAGCCGACAACGAGAGTGTTGCAACATTACCTGTTGACACTGTTTGGAATGAGGATATAGACGCTATATTTTCTCCATCCGAAAATACGCCCCGCACCTCTGGAGAAACAAAAAGAAAAGTCGGGCAATTACCAGTCACCGTTTGCTGACGAGTGCAGAGGTCATCAACGAAAAGCAGGCAATTGCCGAGAAAAAGAGAAAACTTGAGGAGGAAAAACAAAACAGAAAACTTAAGAGGGAACAAAAACTTAAAAAAGAGAAAAAAGCGTCTTAGAATTTATTTATTGATCGATAGACTTTTGTTGATATAATAAACAATGAAAATATACTTCTTTTTTAAAGTTGTTGATAAAAGAAATTAAAACTTTTTGTTCAAATGAAATATGGAAGTAACAGACAGTAATAAACTGATTTATTGATATTCGAAATATTTTCAAGTGTATATTGTCACATTAAAGATATTAATTTCTTACATTCCATTGCTTTAAAAACTGTTGAAAAGACATCATAATATGTGTACTTACACATAGTTTCTGAATATATAAGGCATTAATATTAAGTTCTGACCACTGTCCGAATTTACCGACTACCTGTCCGAATTTATCGGCCTCTGATACGTCTTGGTTTTTATTTTATATTTTTTTGTTTATTTATAACATCATTCGGAACTCCAGATTTTTCGTAAGCATCGTTACTCTCCCAAACAACACATATTCACGCATACGGTCATGTCAAGGTGGAAAAACCTCAGCGTAATCTGATTTCCGAAAAGCACCACACTGTCCGAAGATACCGGCTTTTACCCTACAGCTACAGAAACTTCTGGTTTTTTCTAGAGTTCTGATTGGGATTCGGTACACCCGGTCGACCAATCAGCAATTGTTTTTGTAAATGACGATATTTGCGTTCGGGATACCTCTTGACTCCCTAATCTCGGGAATGAAAAACGCAAGTAAACAACGATCTGTAAGATAACATGCAATTCTATGAATAGCTATGGTGTCATCCAATATCTTCTAAATATGTGATTAAAAATCTATATTGAAGTTCAGATTTGTGCTATAAATAATAAATAAGCATAACTCAATATTGCTTCTTGATTATTCTTGGAAAAAAACTTGGATTTAATTTTTTTAATACGTGTCTTTTATTTCTGTCGATGACACAATCTGTGCGTACCTGATAGATTCGAGATCACGTGACAAAAACAATCCCGTCTTTTGACTTCACCGTATGCCAAGGGTACATGAGGAGAGTAGCGTATTAGAAACCCTTTGCTAGCGAAGATGCACTGTTATATATATGTATGGTAATCAGGTTGGGAACACTTGTTCTCGCTCAGTTCACATGTAATGCACAGTCCACATCAAAGTCAACTAAAGTCTACTTTTGCCACAAACACGGGAGAGTTGGACAAGCAGCTGGGAGACAGTCAGAAATCCTGCCTCGAACTGCTCCCACAGGTCTTCGTAAATTATTTAAAGTCGCCGACGCTCTCTGACATCTCTGCGCTGCAGTCTGTGGAGACTTCCCTTTTCTACCATTCGCCGCTGAAGGGGTAGCTCCTATGCCACCCCTTGAAATCGTTGTTTGTCCCCGTCTCTTTTCTGTACACATTCCAAGAAGGGATGGAATATACGTTGCTTTCCACCCAATTCCTGTTGACGTATGACAGATTGGCAAGAAGGCGGTCATCATCACGAGCTTCGTCCTGGATGTTCCGATAGGCGTCCTTTACCTCTGGTACTGGCAGGAAAGGCAATGACAAAATATACCTCACAGTCTTGTGAATGTGCCGATCTTCGTTCTGTGGGACTTGCAAACCAACTTCCTGTACTTTCCTCCAAATAGCCTGTGACCAGTGGAAGTGGCATCCCTCGACGGTAACCCCTTGGATTGTTTCCATTGTAGCCGCCCATGTAGCCTTCTCGAAATCTGCGATGATTGTTTTCACTGCAGCTCGTCGTGGAAAAATGGCCACAATGGCTGTGAATACGGCTACATAGTCAGTAGTCTGCCGTCGACTTATCAGCACAAAGGCTAATGGCACTTGCTTTTGATGGTCAACAAGGAATCCATGAATCGAAAATAACTGGCAAAAGGGCTCCTGACAACTTTAAATGTACCATCGACGTACCAAATCTGTAAATTGTCTACGGCATCTAGTTGTTGTTCTGTGGCAAATATGATGTGCCGTTGTCCATCACAAGGAATGTCTTTCTGGAGAAATCCTACAGGAAGATATCCTTCAGCAAGCTCACAATTGCAGTCTTTTGGTTCATCGGGTCGAATCTTTTCCTTTGTTTTTGATGGCGATTCTTATTTAATTCGATAACTTTGGTCGGCTTTGTAGTTGGGAGTTTTACATCAGCCATTGAATAGAGTACTCGTTCTGCTATCGATCCTGCACTCTCGAATGCGTTGTCCACGGACTGCTCCTTAATTGCATCTTTGACGTTTTCCCTCCAATATTTTTATCTAACTAAAGCAAGAAATAAATTGAACTCAAGTTTATTTTAAAAAAGACACTTTAAAATTGTGACTTAAAAAAGGTTTCAAATTGCTTCGCATGTTCAATTATTTGATCTTTCTGCACTAATAAAAAATTAATGTGGTTTTTTCTGGCATTGAAAATTTTATAAGGAAGACAATTATTTTAAAGTCTTGCACTTTTTCTGAATTTAAGCAAATAGGTCAAAGCTATCTCGAATATTTAGAAAATAACATAAAAAGTGGGTGTATATGATGCATATTTACTAAAAAGTGTCAATTTTATGTTAAATTTGGCTAAATTTTCCCCAGATTTTCAGAATATATTTACTATATTTGTCAAACGTTGAAAAAATTAGAAGTAATTTGATAGATATTTCAGAACCAGCATAGCACATTTCACTGCTAAAAAAAAAAACAGCTTTGTGTGCAACCAGCATGGAAAAATAGGAATCTAAAGTTAACAGTACTTTTATAGTTCAAAAGGGGAAAACTGTTCATTTTCTTATTAAAAAAAACCTTCCGCCGCAAAATATAGTTTCTAAGTTAATTCTACTTGAATGGAATTTAATCGCGGTTTCTTCATTGAATATTGTTCAATTTTCACTGTAGAATTCAGATTTAATGCTAGAACTTAAACAGAACAGAATTTTATTAATAAAGGATAGGACCAAAATCCGCTCAAAAGTTCAGGATCAAACGTCCTTATTGAATGATGTTGCCATGGTAACTAAAATTGAAAATTCTGTAAATTTTTTATTAAAAGCTACCCTTAAGTTGTAGTCTTAATGCAGTCTTGCTACAGAAAGAGACTTAATCAAGGATCATTATTATGTCGCCCCGAACGAAATCGGGCGACATATTGCGATTGTACGCATGTTTTTGTTGTCCAGGCTGTTTCTCGGAGATGGCTGGGACAATATTCCTGAAACTTTTTTCAAAGGACGATCACTGCTTA